ACAAGTGACAGGAAACCCAAGAATTTTACAGGCAGTGCTGGAGTTGAATTTTGAAGACACAGTAGGAGTTCATCATAGTAAAAATAATAAATGACTTACTAAGTGCTTACTGAGTGACTGGAACTGTATTAGGTGCTTTAGCATGGATAGTTTCATGAAATACTACCTGTAAGGTAGCCAGCCACAACTGTCATCTCCATTTTATAGATGAGAAAACAGAAGCTTAAAGAAGTTTAAAAAAAAGTGTACACAGCTAGGAAGAAGCAGATAGGATTTCACCCCAGGCTGTTTACTACCAAATCTAAGCTCTTAATCTAATTGTATTCAGAGATGGAAGAAAGGAATTTCAGATTTAGGTGAAAGTTACAGGGCATGGGGCGTGGCACATTCATCAACCTGCAGGAGTTCCTAGTGACTGAAATGTAAAATGTGGATCACCTATTGGTGAAAGAAGAGGCTGGAAGATAGGCAAGGGCCGATTCATGGGTGTCAGGCTAAGGAGTTTGGATTTTATCCTGTGGGTAAAGGAGCCACTGAAGAACTTTAAGATGAGGAGTGACATGATCAAAGGATACATTTTTGGGTTGAATCTGGCAAGAGGTGTGGGTAATGATTTGAAAGGGAGGCCAGTTTTGTCCAAATGGTGGTTGTAAGATTTGAGGAAACAAGAATGGCTTTCAAAAATGGAAAGAATAGAATTAACATGACTAGGTGATCATGTGAGTATGGGAGGTGGGGAAGGTCCAGATGTTGATGAGGAGCAGGTGGAATCAAAGAGCTAGGGCTTCTGGCTTGAGCAACTGACTGAAGGGTGATATCCTCCAGCCTGTGCTCACTGCTTTAGGATTGTAAGAGGAATCTTAGTGGGAAGGGTGGTGGGTGGGTGGTAGAAGATGATTAGATTTGTTTTCAACTGATTGATAAATTTAAGTTGAGCTATGTATCACAGAGTTGGAAATAAAGATCTGGAACTCAAGATGAAGATGTGCCCTGGAATTACTGATCTAGGCATTCATCAGCATGTAGTGATAGTTGAAAGTACACTTCAGTGGGGGCAGATGGGTTCCTTCTGCAAGACGGAAAAAGAAAGACATATATAACAAATAACACACTGGGCGCAGTGGCTCATGCCTGTAATCCCAGCACTTTGGGAGGCCAAGGTTGGCAGATCATGAGGTCAGGAGATTGAGACCATCCTGGCCAACATGGTGAAACCTTGTCTCTACTAAAATACAAAAAATTAGCCGGGCACAGTGGTGTGTGCCTATAATCCCAGCTACTTGGGAAACTGAGGCATGGGAATCACTTGAACCCAGGAGGCAGAGGTTGCAATGAACTAAGATCATGCCACTGCACTCCAGCCTGGCAACAGAATGAGACTCTGTCTTAAAAAATAAAATAAAATGAGAAATAACACATCAATAGTGTCTCTTTGCCACTACAATACAAATTCCATAAGGGCATGAATGAATGAAGAAATAATAGTAACAGAAAATAATGAGTAAGCTGAATCTTGAAGTAGAAAAGTTGTGCAAAGCAGTGGATGAAGCCATTGGTTGCTAGAAGCAGGAAGTGAAAGAGACGAATAACTAAGTCTATAATAAACTAGTCTTATTTGTTTTTATTATATTTAAGTTCTGGGGTACCTGTGCAGAACGTGCAGGTTTATTACATAGTTATACATGTGCCATTGTGGTTTGCTGCACCCATCAACCTGTCACCTACATTAGGTATTTCTTCTAATGCTATCCCTCCCCTAGGCCCCCACCCCCATCAGGCCCCCGTGTGTAAATGGGAGAAAATTTTTGCAATCTGTCCATCTGACAAAAGCACTAATATCCAGAATCTACAAAGAACTTAAACAAATTTACAAGAGAAAAAAAACCCATCAAAAAGTAGGATTTTGTGTGAACATTTTTTCATTTATTTAAGGCAAATACCTAGAAATGGGATTGCTGGGTCATACAGAAAATGATTGTTTCATTTTACAAGGGACTGCATCCAGAGTGGCTGT